CCTCCTATGCCATAAGATCTTTAAGTTTAGTTAACAGGAAGTGTCCAAGTCTGTCCACAGCAGGTCTTAATGATCCATATGACATCAAGTCTCTCAGGGAATGCTTTCAACCTGTAAAATGCCTAGGGGTTTAAAGACCTTCTTCTCAGCTTCCAAAGTGAGTCCTGTCTGAGCTCATATCCACCCCCACCCTGTATCTACCCACCCTTGTTTTTTTTTCTTTTTCAAGAAAGGGTCTCCCTCTCCAAGAACTCACTCAGTAGGCCTGTAGGCTCCAGGAGTCTGCTTGTCTCAGCCTCTGAAGTTGCTGGGATCATGTAAGTGTCACATGCCTGGCTTTTCTTTTAAATACCTTCTGGTCTGGGGATTACTTACTAGCAGATCTTCATGGTTGTAAGGCAGGCAGTTGATTAGCTTAGCTATCTTCCAACTCCAGATATTTAAATATTAATTTGCTTTAATGAGGCCCTGTGGAACACACCCATAATCTCAATACTTGGACAGTGAAGGGAGTAGATTCATGAATTCGAGTGTCATTCTTGACTACATAGAGAGTTTATGACTAACCTGAGCTACCTGAGACTCCGTCTCAAATCTTCCTTCCCCAATCCCCAGATTATGAAATTGAAATCCAGATCCTTAGTTATACTAGCTAGGTTTTGTGTGCCAGTAGCCACATGTTACTGGGGGGTACCATGTCACCAGGCAGGTATAAAAATTTCCTTTGGATGGTGTTGACATTCAAAATCGGTAATTCCATCCTGATTTTAGAGTTCTAATACCACCCAGTGAGTGTCCTTCTAGACTCATTTTCTCCCTGACAAAGCTCTGCTTAACTCATGCTAGAATTAGTTGTATTCTGTAAGTACACCCCAAACAAAGGAAAAAAGGAATAATTTGGCTAAGAGAGGGAGGTTTACTGTATTAAATGTGGTTCAGATAAAATGATAGTCTGATGGAGAAAATACACAATTAATACTGGAGAGGCATCATAGCTCCTCAGCCTGTTAGAGTTGAAAGGGATCTTTGATTGCCCGTAATCAAAACTCTTATTTAACTGATGAGAAATTTGAGGCACAGAGAGGTTCATTGATGTCCCACAGCTCCATAATGGCTTAGTTACTCCATATTCAAGTTAGTGGTTCTTTTCACAAGGCCAAGGAGACTTCTGCAGTAAGTTCCCATGCCGAAGTTCCGTGGCTGCTCTGCTCTGGAGGCGAGAGGAGCCAATTGTCATGCCTCGGTTTATCGTAAGAAAAGGAAGTTCCCCTTTAGAGCACAGCTTGCCGAACTTTCTTTGTATGTCTTTGGAAAAAAGAATTCTGCCACATTTAAATAGACACTTTGAACTTTGGTTTTGAAATTATAGAGTTTATTTAAAAATAGGAGTAAAAAAGGATGGGAGTGGAGCTTAGTGGAGGATTTAAAGATGAAGGCACACACTCACACATACACATGCACACATTCTCTCTCTCTCTCTCTCTCTTTCTTTCTCTCTCTCTACACACACACACACACACACACACACACACACACACACACGCGCACGCGCACACACTGAAAAAGAAATATGCTTCCTTATTAAAAAAAATAGCTCTTTTTGTGGGATGGAGGTGAGAGTATTGTTGGGAAAAGAATTTGGTTTTTAAAATATCCTGTTACTAGCCAGACATGGCCAACAGCCCTATAATCCTAGCATTTGGTGCATGGAGGCCGGAAGATCAGGAGTTCAAAGCTGGACTTAGCTACATAGAGAATTTGAGGCCTATCTGGGCTCTATGAGGTCCTGTGTAAAAAGTACCAACAAACAAAAACTTAAGCAAAACATCTTTATGTGAGTGAGTGCGTGCATGAGTTCTTGTGCTCGAGTGTGCATGCGTGTGTGCATGCATGCATGTGCCTCTGCGTGTGTCTTTTATTTTTGTTTTTGTGGAGGGTCGGGGTGGAACGCAGGGCCTCCCACATGCTAAGGAACACTGGAGCAGCAAGCTAATCTCCAGCCTAAAATACTCCATCTTTATTTTGCTGAGCTTAATGGATTAATTATTTTCACCAGTAAGACTCGACCTCTCATCCCATTTAAAGTAAAATAGACTTTAAAAAAGGAAGGTAAACAGAAATTTCTGTGAAGTAGTGTGCCATTCTAATATTTAATAGGTTTCCCCCAGAACTATTTCCATAGGCTACATTAGTGGCTGAGAGCTGGCTGTGTAGTGATTTATTCTAGCCTCAGTAGCTACATGCTGTGAAAAGATTGTGTTTTGCTAGGATTATTTCTTCTGTGTTCTGTTGATTATGCTTGTTTTCTTTATTCCTTCTCCGCTACTTTAGTTTTACCCCATAACCGTTGCCTGCACTTTCCTGTCTTTAGTCAGCCCTTCTGTCAGTGAGCTTTTCACTGCTGTGACAAAATACAAAACAAATACAAAAACAAAACAAAACAGAAGCAAGTTTCATTCTGGCTCATAGCTTCACCGCAGGTATCAAGAAAGTGGAGGCCCAAGGTTGTCAGGAATCCCACTCAGTCCTTCTCCACCTTATTCAGCGAGTCAAGGTCTCTCAGATAAGCCCAGAGGTCTGCAAGCTGGCTCATTTTGCCAGCCAGCTTGCTCTGGGTTCCCTTCTCCACTTGCATGGCTTGGGATTATGGACAGGCTGCCATTCCCACCCAGCGTTTATGGTGGTTCTGGGGATCCTAACTCCAGTCCTCAGGCTTACATAATAGATGCTTTAGCATCTGAGCCATCTCTCCAGCCTTCGATTTAATTTTTGTTCTTTCTTTTTGTATCATCAACATCTTGGTCATGTATCCTTATGCTTGCTTCATAAAACATAAGCCTCTGTGCTTAGAGAATATTGAATGAAGAAAGATAATCCAGTTGTTTGGAGGTGCCTTCTGTCTTTGCTTGTTACCCCATTTTCTTATTCATGAGCAAGATGCTCAGATGGACTGTTTAATGAACCACTTCAGGCAGTCTTATACTTTCTAGTCTAAAGAAGGCATTTTCAGGAAGTTTTTTTTTTTTTTTTTTTTTCTTCGAGACAGGGTTTCTCTTTGTAGCTTTGCGCCTTTCCTGGATCTGACTCTGTAGTCCAGGCTGGCCTCAAACTCACAGAGATCCGCTTGGCTCTGCCTCCCGAGTGCTGGGATTAAAGGCGTGTGCCACCACCACCCCCCGGTTTAAAGAAGGCATTTTCGTCCTTTATACTTTAATTGAGAAATAGCCTGGGCTCCTTCCAACAGTGTTTGGTGAGTTTTGATGGAACAGGTGGATAAATAAATATGCATACAATTTAATTTTAGTTCTGGGTGCCTGCACTTTGTAGCCTCTTCCTGGTGACTGGAGCTGTTTTTTCATTTTCTTACCATTGCACAAAGAATTCACACTCCATTTATACACACATACACACATGCATACACAGGTATATATATCAAACAATTATGGTTTTTATTCTATTATTTTTTATTAAAAATAGATTCTTCTCTTATACAATACATCTGGACCACAGTTTCCCCCTCCTCTACTCCTCCCAGCTCCTCCCACCTCCCCTCTCCTCCAGATGCACTCCCCCTTCATTTCCCAGATCCACACTTTATTATGAACCTACAACTGATCAGAGATTTAACGGTTTTCTAGGAAAGGAAACTTAGTAATGTGTGTGTGTGTGTGTGTGTGTGTGTGTGCGTGCGCACGCACACTAAGGAGGTGATATAGTCTTGGACCACTTATTAACATTTGAGCTACACATTATTCTACTGTTAGACATACATGTACTATATTCTTTCTAGTTTTGCCTTTAGCTTACTTTAGTTTTTATCTACATGTGAAAATATACAAATTATATATATAATTTTTAAAATTTGTGTGTAATACAATATGTAAGTACATATAAATTAAAAATTTTTTAGAGAGGACACATGTGTCCCAGGCTGGCCTTGAACTTGCTATGAAGCCAAGGATGACCTTGAGTTTCTGATCCTCCTACTTTTCCTCACAAGTCCTGAGCTGGGATTCCAGGTGTGCATCATCACCTGGCTTGTATGGTACTGAGATCAAACCTAGAGCTTTATGCACTCTAGGCAAGCAATCTCCCAACTGAGTCACATCCTTTAGCCCCAAATGAATAAAGATTTAAAAATGCAGTAGGGGGGTGGGGAGGTGGGAGGTGGGGTGTGGGGGTACAGTCCTTTGATTCCAGTACCCAGGAGACAGAAACAGGTGGATCTCTGAGTTCCAGGCTAGCCTGGTCTAGAGAGGGAGTTCCAGGACAGCCAGCGCTACACAGAGAAACACTGCTCCATGACTGTGCTGTCTTCCAGAGCTGAGCATGTCCGTCTTAGTAAACATTGCTCCTGGTATCTTATGGTCTCTGGCATAATGAACTATGTTGTAGGATTCTATGGGACCTGTCTGTGATTTTACCTTTCTCTTCCCAGACATAACAGAATGTAAGTGAGGAATGGCAGAGCTATATTATGATGGGGAAATTCTTACCCATTTCTAACTTGTGAAAATAAGCAAACCAATGCGTCAAGGCTTATATAACTGTTCTCAGTCCCAACTCACTGTGAGACAGGATGACTTCTTACAGAGTCAGGAATGCATGTGGAGGGCTGGGGCTGAGGTGAGTTTGTAACATCTCAGCATCAAGGGAGAGATGGCTCTCTAGCTGTCTGATGTCAGCCTGCGGGATTGGCACTTAGATCCTATTTGTTGGTGAAAATTGTGTCCATGTTAGTGATGCTAATGGCCTCTAGACAATGGCTCATTTTGCTGTGCTGTGACCTTTGCTGTTGACGCTGTGTGGAGATGTGATGTGCCGCCGTTCGGCCTCATTCCTGGTGTTTCCAGTTGGCAGCTGCACTACCCTGCTTCTGAAATGTGACGATGAGTTGGTGGCCACACTGCTAGGGTTGTGGTACGTTAGGAGAGCTAAAGGAGTTGATATTTTGAATCCGATTGAAGTCCTCCGATCTTCTGTTTTTGGTGGCCCCTTAGGTAACTTGCCGTAGGATGAACTAAGAGAAGAGGACCCAACACTGGTCAGCATGGAGAGACGTTTCCCAGTTTCCAAGATGCAAAACTCATCCTCACCATTGGAAAAGCAAACTGGCCCAGCAAATGGGAATGGGGATCTTGATTCAGGTAGGATTCTGTATGTTGGTTTATTTCTGAAAATGTGGCTCATGGACCAGTATTTTCCTGAGATGCTCAGGAACAGTGGGTAGCGTGTCTAGAGCGGACCGACCACCAGCTCTTGGCGTTTGCTGTACTAATCAAGTCATATGCCTGCAGATACAGCAGCTTTCAAGTTATGATGATTTGGGGTCAGTATTAATACTGACCATACAAACAGAGTGTGCTAGGTTACAGCCTGGTGACATAGCACTTCTAAGTCTCAGTGCCTTCTGCTAGTCAATGTCTATGAACATCTGTGCTGACCTGACAGCTGTTATGGTGCCCTCGTATCTAGTGACTGTACTGTCCCTCAGTGCTGCACCTCAGCAGTGTCCAGGTTAGTTTTCATGGGAAAAGAAGAGCTGGGGTATAACACATTACTGACATACCCTCCAAAGTATCGAGCATAGCTTTGTAGTGTGAAAGAAATTTAGGTCATGTGCATTTGTGTGATGTAATTGGATAAAACAAAGCAAAAAAAAAAAAACCCAACAAAAAAACAGATTGTGTTTGATTGGATTTTAATATTTAATGAGTTTATAAATGCATCTCTAAAAACATTTATGTGATGGTTTATTTTAAAAGGATACTTCTTTTTCTGAAAGTAGACTTGCATGATTTATAGATCAGCAAATTAAATAAGGGCAAGAGAACTCTATGAATTGGTAATGTTTGCTACAGTGAATTCATACAAAATGTTGCCCGTTAACTTAGGGGGAGAGTTGACCACTGTCTAATGAAATTAGCAAGTTTGCCTTCACTTTAAAATAATAAGGTGTGTATGCGCGCGCACACGTGTGTGTGTGTGTGTGTGTGTGTGTGTGTGTGTGTACGTGCGCGCGCATGTGTGTGTTCACTCATATGCTGTGGTGCTCATGTGAAGGTAAGAATTAGAAGATGACTTGGAAGAGTGAAGTATCTCCTACCTCATAGGTGATGGGGAGCATCTTTACTTGCTCAACCAACCATCTTGCTGGCCCCATTTTCATGTTGATCAAACTAAGTCAATGATGGAATCAAAAACTGCTTGATATCATTGAGCTTGTTAGATCAGGTTTCCCCATTCTCTCTTTCTCTGCAAAGCTATAAAAACTGAGTATCTAATAGGATAAAGGCATGTAGCATCTCTCCTAGGATGAAGCCAGTCCTCCTGGTTCTTCTATATATAAAGAGGGAGGAAGAAACGTCAGTAAGCACAGAGGGTACCTTGCCCCCCTGCAAAAAATGAAAATGTCTTTCTGAGCGGTCCTCACCCCCCCAAGGCTGAAGGTTCATATTAATTGTCTTTTGTTGGAATGTAGATTTGCCTCTCTCTCTCTCTGTCTCTCTCTGTCTCTCTCTCTCTCTCTCTCTCTGTCTCTCTGTGTGTGTGTGTGTGTGTGTGTGTGTGTGTGTGTGTGTTTGTGCAAGCATGTACATGAGGTTGATCTCAGGTGTCTTTTTCAATGCTCTCCACCTTATTTATTTGTATTGATTATTAATAATAATTCAGGCAGAAGTTTGTGGGTCACATGTGGGGGTCGGAGGACAGCTTTCATACTCAGGTCCTCAGGTTTCTGCCATAAGCACTTCCCACTCACTGGACTTTTACACCAGCCTTCCACCTCATTTGTGGAGGAAAGGTCTCTTACTGACCTAGTGGGGGTCTGCTGGCTTTACTTGACTGGCTAGCCTGCAAGTCTCAGGGGTCCTCCTTCTCTCTGCCTCCCCAGCACCAGCATTACAGGCATACACCACCTATACTTGGCTCTTATGTGGATGCTGGGGATCTGAACCCAGGTCCTCAAGGATGTACAGTAAGCAAGTACTTTACTGACCGGGGGTATCTCTTCAGACCCAGTTACATTTTCTTCTAATGGTGCTGGAGATTGAACCAATGGCTTTGAGTATGCTAGGCGAGCAAGCACTCTGGAACTACCCCCTAAGCCCCAGTCTTTTTATATCTGCTCGGTAAAGTGATCTTGCACGTTGGAAGTTCCTGGGCATTTCCTTTATTTTTGTAGTGCATCTTCTGCACGTATCGCTCTCTGTGGCTGTGTCATTTTCAATGATAAGTTTTCATTTTCACACAGCTGCCATATTTCTCTCTAGCGTAAGTAGATTCTGAAGCTCATTACTGATAATCTACTGTCAGGAAATTATTCTTACTGACAAGTTCTTCAAAATGATATCAGAGTCAGGGGGATTCCAGGCTGAAAACCCGTCGTAGATACTCATTCATGATTTGTTCTTTACTCTCATGTAGTGAATGGTTTAAATCATACAAGATGCTCCGATCTTTAATACTGAGATCGCTGAATGATTCTAAATTATGTTTATATTTTTCAGCTTCTGATCCAGATCTTTCCCCACTGTGCTGAGGGTTTATGTGTCCCTGTTTCTTAGTATTTCAATGTTTGTGATAAGGAAGCTTTGATTGTGCTACAATTTCTTTAGATTCAATTAAAATTTTTGTGTGTGAATTTCATACATGAGTGCAATGTCTTTTCATCATACCCATCCCATCTTCTATCTCCAGCTCCTTCCGTGTTGCTCCATTGCCTCGTTCAAATTTATGTCTTCTCTAGCTATAATTATTGTTGATATACCTATTGAGTCCCATTAGTGTTGCTCATATGTACTTGAGTGTAGAGCTGACCACTTGGGCATGGGCAGACTATCAGGGGGCTTTTCCCAGAAAACAATCCAGCCTCTCACTTGGTAGCCATCCACTGCCTGTAGCTCTTCAATTATGGGTGGGATCTATGTGCCCCTCCCCCACCCACACTGGCATGTTGGCTGGTGTGGTCTTATGTGGGTGAGCATATTGTCAGGAGTTCATGAGTGTAATAACATAGTGCCACACATTTTAAAAGAGAGTCTAAAACCTTATAGACAACACAGGCTGACTTAATGATCAAAATCACATCTGATAATAACATGATCAAGTATGACTCTTCAAGTCATTTTTTTTAAACCTTCCTTTCTAGATTCATTTATGATGATAATCTGGTTGTGGACTCACTGGGACATGCTTAGGGATGCTCGGAACCTTTTTTTGTTTGATTTTCAGATGAGCTTTCTGGATGTGCAGAATAAGGCATATTTGATCTATTCAGTGGGCTCTAGATGGACTTGTGAATTAGGACAAATGGCATACAAGCATGGTTTCTATTGATAAGTGCTCATACTTTAGAGTCCCTCGCATGTTAAGGATTAAGCTGACTTAATCTTCAGTGCCTGGTAAAGTGGCTGCTTTTTCAGGCCCTTCTTACAGATGAGGTGGGCTTGTGTGAGTGGTGTGCTGGAAGCAGATTTAGTCTCAGGTCCTGGAGTTGGTGTCCTGACGTCATCGGAAATCCTCATCCCCTCCTCGTACATCACTCAGATTCCTTCTTCTTCTCTTCCTTTCCTTCTCCAGAGCTTTGTTACGTGACACATGAGGGCATCTCCTTAGCAAGTGACACCACCCAAGAGACTGTAGCTTGCCGGGCCCTGCCATGCAGGTTCATAATCCTCACGACTTGAGGGGTTGAGACGGAGATGTGAGTTTGCAGCCAGCCTGGGTTACAGAGTATGAGACTACCCTGGGGACTTGTTGAGACCATGTCTCCAGAAAAATGTATAAATGGGGCTGGGATTGTAGCTCATTGTATGAGATGTGGGAGGCCCCTGGTTCAACTCCCAGGACAGAGAAGGGGGGGAGGAGAGAGAGAGAGAGAGAGAGAGAGAGAGAGAGAGAGAGAGAGAGAGAGAGAGAGAGAGAGAGAGAGATAACACATGAATAAGTCTCTACAGCTCTCTCCTGAGAAAACTGTCCTGACTAATGATCAAGGGACAGAACTCTAGTCTTGTGGCTTCAGGGCCTTTCTCTTTGCTACGTTGTTCAGTCCCCTCTGTCCCTCTGTCCATTCTGTCCCTCTGTCTACTCTGTGCCTCTGTTCCCTCTGTCCCTCTGTCCACTCTGTCCTTCTGTCCACTCTGTGCCTCTGGCTGATTTACCCCCTTGCAATGATGATTCTTCTGTGAGATCCATCCCAGCTGGATTGAACTGACTAGTTTTTTCTTTCTTTCACTTTTGGCTTTTCCTCAGGAAAGCTCAAATCTTAGCTGGGATCAATAACTCAAATGTGAAGGCTGCTCTTGAAATAAGATAAAAGGGCATTCCCTCCCAGAAACAAAGAGTGTGTGCCTGAAGTCAGTGCAGATAGACAAATTGTCCAGGATCCTCAGGTCTCCCCAGCAGGTAGAGCACCCCGAGGCACACGGGAATGAAGCCCACCAAAATTCTGAGTGTCTTCAGTCAGAATAAAAGCAAGCAGAACAATGTGGGGACACCACACTAAGAGGTTCTGTGACGTGGTTTGTGCAGGCCTGCTCAATGTCATTTCCCAGGGGAGCCTGTGGTATTGTACATGCAGCCAAGACCAGCCTCTGAGTAAAAAAAAGGAAGCAGAACCACGTGAACTTGAGTCTTCCAAATCATAAAAAATAGTAGGGCCGGAAAGGAAGCTCAGGCAGTGGAGTCCTTGGCTCTAGAGCATGAGGACCTGAGACATGAGCCTAGAACTCTCCTGGGGAGGCAGAGATGCGGAGATCCCTCAGGCCTGCTGACCAGCCACACTCTCTTAGTTGGCGAGCCAGTGAGAGAGCCTGTCTTAAAAAGGAGGTGGATGGCTTTTGATGAATGACAGTTGGCATTGACCTCTGGCCTCTGCACATGCCCAGTTGCAGGCTTACTCACACAGATGAATGCACTTATACATGTGTGCACACCTAGAAAGTATATGAGCATTAAATACATTTCTCTCCGTATGTATTGTCTATGTGTTAAGAGACAGGGCTACTTACGTGATTGTGCTTTGCTTGCTTACACGTAATAGTTCTCCTGCCTCAGCCACCTAAGCCCAACGCTTGGCTCTCACTGGGAATATATCAAAGAGGCAGGCCTCTTCAGTTTAGAAGAACACGAGTCAATGCTCCATTTTTTTTTTCAAGACAAAAAATGTGTAGCTTTGGAGCCTGTCCTGGAACTTGGTCTGTAGACCAGGCTGGCTTCGAACTCACAGAGATCCGCCTGCCTTTGCTTCCTGAGTTCTGGGATTTGCCACCACAGCCTAGCTGAGTCAAACACTCTTAGAGAAGTTCAGGGCTCACTCTTCATTCTGAGAACTAGTTCTTGGAAGTCAATATTAACCCTTTCCCACCCTACTCACCCCCCCCCTTTTGAACTTTAGGCTGCAATTGTGTGTTTGGTCAGATCCACGGTGGACTGGCCACTATAGCTCCTTTCTGAGTTATCTAGACTGCTGTTCAGATTTGTGCTGTTTTTCTCTCCTGGTGCTAGGAGGAGCTACCAGCATCTAGAGATGATTTAGTGTCTTCTTCCCATCTCTTTGCACATTTTAAAAATTACCTAGCATGCGAGTTTGTTCATGCAGAATCTGCCGGTTTTCAGAGCCCTGTATTGTGGCAGTTACAGGCTTTACTATCCAGCCTTGTGAAGCCAGGCTGCCTTCAGATTGTAAAGTGAGCTTTTCTCAGGTTTTATTAAGAAAAAAAATGTATGGGGCACTTGTTTACCATATTTTTATTCTAAAGTCACTTGTGTTCCAGCTTTTCATAAGACATTCTCTTTGTGTTTATTCTGGAATATTCTGGTCCCACAGATAGCTTTCTGTTAAAAAAACAAAAAACAAAATGAAGCTGGAGCTGTTTAATGAAAACGCTTGTTTTCTTTGTAAGGTGTGAAGTGTTCATAGCAGCTTTTCATAGTTGGTTTTCATGACATCATGGGGAAATGTCTCCCTAGTTCATTTATGGTGGAGGGGACTGTCAGAGTCTCTTTGGCAAAACGTTTTGGGTTTAAGAGGTTTATGGATCAGCTGTAAATACTTTCTCTGGTTTATGAGATCTCTCATAAACATTGTGTGTTTATAAACCTATTGCTCATTGGGAGCGCCTTTAGAGAATCAACTGTTTGGGGGCACAGGCCAGGGGAGGGCTTGTATGTGGCAGATTTGAACAGGCTGGCTTAGGAGTCAACCTAAGTTTTGTATACAGCTTTATTGCTCCAACAGCATGGCTGGTGTTGCTGGTGCTGGACATACCGATTCTGTATCATTTGATCTCATTCTGGGACTGACATGTGGTTTACTTTCTGAAGTGCTTTTGTTTACCAGAACTACTGCATGCTCCCTGTTTGCTTCTGTGTGTGACTTAGATGCTCCAAGTCCTGTGGATCCCCTGGAGCTGGAATTATAGGTGCTTGTGAGCTGCCTGATGTGGGTGCTGGGAACCAGACTCAGCTCCTCTGCAAAGGCAGAAGCACTCTTTTTTTTATTTTAATAAAATAATTTTCTTTAAAAAAAAAAGATTTATTCATTTCTTATGTATACGGTGTCCTGCCTGCATGTATGTCTGCAGGCCAGAAGAGGGCACCAGATGTTGTTATAGATGGTTGTGAGCCACCACGTGGTTGCTGGGAATTGAACTCAGGACCATCTGGAAGAGCAGCCAGTACCCTGAACCACGGAGCCATCTCTCCAGCCCCGTGCAGAAGCACTCTTAACCACCGAGTCCACTTTCCAGCCCATTTGCTTTTTCTTAAAATGTTACCGAAGTCACAGTTTTATAAAGGTCTCTTATTTTCCAGTCTGCAGCCTTAGTGGGCAGGTAGTTTGGTGCCTGTGTGTATCTTGGCACACACTTTGAAGTGTCCTCTTCTGTTTCCTTCAGTCTACTCAAACGGAGCTGTCTACTATGGCTAATGTTAGGCTAATCCACGTTAGCTTTAAGACAACTCTTACTCGTTTGACTCGAAAGCACAAATGTTGCTTTTAATTTTGACCGGGGATCCAAGTGTTGCCGCTTCTTGTCTCACTGTCTCTGTCTCTATCTCTCTGTCTTTCTGTCTTTGTCGCTGTATCTTTCTGCAAGGCTGACATCAAAGCTGGCGAGCTTCAATTACTCTCCATATTATTTATTTGTTTGTTGTTTGTTTAGGCAGACTCTCTCATTGAATCTGGGGCTCACTGATTTAGCTAGATTGGATGCACAGCGAGCCGCAGGGATCCGCCTGCCTCTGTCTCCCTTTGATTACATACATATGTGTGTTACCCAGCATGGCTTTTTATATGGGTTCTGGATATCTGAACTTGGACAGCAAGCAGTTTACCAAAGCAGTCATCTCTCAGGCTCTCCTTCCTCCTTTTAAACTCAATATTTCTACAACAGCAAGGTGAAGCTTTTCAGAGAGTTCAGCCATCTCCTCTAAAGCGCTGAATCAGTCTGTGTCTCCCAGGCACGCCTTGCCCTAGTTCTGATATTCTTGTTTTGTTTTGTTTCCACAGAGGAAGGTTCCGGCCTGGAGGAAAATGGCTTTAGCTGGGGAGACTATTTGGAAGAAACAGGCACCAGGGCGGCGCCACACTCATCCTTCAGGCATGTAAGTCAAGTCTTGAGCAGCTCCTCCCTTCTGGTCTGTGGGAGGGAAGGGAAAGGGATCTGTTGGGTGATTCAGGAACCAGGCAGAAGAGAAGAATGAAAATGAAGCAGAAGAAGACTTTATAGGAAGAAGGTGAGATGGGGAGTTTGGTTGTTCCTAGGCAGCTAGCTGCACATGAAATAGGCCACAGCTTGAGTCTCACAAAAAGCCAGCGAGTTAGGCAAGATGTTACATTGATGTCTTCTTTGTAGGTGTGATGACTGTATATTCTTTTATAATCAGGTGATATTTGGGGCTTGAGTCCCCTCCACCATAAATTAACTAGGGAGACATTTCCCCATGATGTCATGAAAACCAGCCATGAAAGCATTCAGTTGATAGAATGCTTTCCTAATAGCGTGAAGCCCTGGGTTTGATCCCAGCATGGCCTAAAATGGGGTGTTGTGGTGCATCTGTGTATTTCTGGCACTGGGAAGGTGGAGGCAGGAGAAAAAGGTTGATACTATAATTTTGAAAAGTCATATTAGAGTTTTCTAGGCTTTAGAGAGAAGGTAAGTTGGGTGGGAGGAATCATGATAGATATTCTGAAAATGTATGTCTCACAAAGGTCATTCTCCTTAATAATATCTATTTGTATAATCTGGCTAGCATGTCCACTGGGGGACCCACCTAAGAAAAAGAAACATGAGTTCTTGCCAGATTTTTCTTAGGTGTGAACTTTTGTTTCTACAACTCTAGCATGGAAAAGATGATAGTCCCCCAAACTAAATTCTTACATGGGACTATTGAGCCAAAAAAAAATTTTTACTTCTGAAAGATCTGTTTTCTCATCAGCCTACCCCAGCAACAACTGAGCCTTCTTAAGCTTCTTCTGGCTCCTCAGCTGAAATAAGAAAGCCACATTAAGTTCTACTGAGAAGTGGAGTGTTCTTTTGAAAGGGAATTTAGGACCTCATGAACTGTGTAAGATTGCAGCGCCCCCTTCTTCTCTGTACTCACCAGGCTGTGGTTTATTCTGGTCATGGTTGTAGCCATGTGGTGAAACCAGGGGCTGCGTTTTCAAGCCCAGCGAAAGCCGTGCCTCTCTGGCTTATACAGCTGGCGTCACAACCCTGCAGAAGCCCGGCTGACAAGATACTGGGATGGCCTGGTGATTTCCTGAAGGCAGTTTGGGAAAGAAGGGTGATCGACAGCTTTCCCCTTCTTCTCTGTGCAGTGAAGTCATGTCTTCAGTCATGAGTCACCTCCAATCCTCCGATTCTCCACTTCTCTCAGGTCCTTTTCAGCTGAAGTATTTGCCACCCAAAGGCTCTCATGAACATGCGCTCATCTTTCAGGATGTCTGTATTCCTGAAGGATGATGCCAACAGCTACCCTTCCAGATGCAGACTGTCCCAAGGCCTGCGTGCAAGATTGACAGGAAAAGTAGCCTCAGTTTCACAGATGACCAATTCCTGGTCCCATTGCTTTCTTGGCTTTGGAATGTGGAGAACTCCAGGTTGGAAAGTTTTTTTTAGTTTTCTTTTTCATCCTGGTGGTAGCTCCTGGAACACAGAAAACTTGAATCACATAGAAGAGTACGTAGCTGCAATTGAGATATGCTGTTCATTGAACTCAAGATCTTGAGAGCCTTTGTTCAAAAACACTAGCCCTCACCTTTTTTTCCCCCATGTAACCCAGTCTAGTCTCAAATTTATCATGTAGCCAAGAATGACCTTGAACTTCTGATTGTTCTGCCTCCACCTGCCTGCCCTGTCTCCCCCCCAACCCCCAACCAAATGATGTAGTGCTGGGATCACACTCCGGACGTCCTTCATGTTTGGCAAACATCCTACCCACAGCGACATGTTCATTCCTCATTTACTTGTGCCTCACTTGGTGTTGAGCCAGGGTCTATTTGTGTCCCCAAGTTGACCTAAACTTAGGATATTTGTGCCTTGGCCTCTAGACTCCTGGGATGACGGGTGTGTGCCACCGTTCCCGGCTCATTCACGTTTTGTGGTAGTAGGTTCATATTGAAATGACAAACTGTTGAATTTAATGGGTAAAATAAAACTTGTTATGAAAATCCGTTTTATCTTTCCTTTGAACGTGGCTTCCATAAGACTTAGCCTTGTGTTGGAGGCTCATGTTCTGTTTGTCTTAAGTACGTGCCTATGTTAGGGCTGCAGAAGTTCTGTTTTAAAACGTCCTCTGCTTAAGTAGTTCTCAACATCTTCTGAGGCACATGGCTAGTGTGATTATGGTTTTCTTGTGTTTCTGATGTCTCAAGGTGGAAATCAGCATTCAGAGTAACTTCCAGCCGGGAATGAAGTTGGAGGTGGCCAATAAGAACAATCCGGACACTTACTGGGTGGCCACCATCATCACCACCTGTGGACAGCTGCTGCTTCTGCGTTACTGTGGTTATGGGGAGGACCGAAGGGCTGACTTCTGGTGTGACGTGATCATAGCAGATCTGCACCCTGTGGGGTGGTGCACACAGAACAACAAGGTGTTGATGCCCCCGGATGGTGAGCTCACATATCGAAGGCTTTGATATCAAAGAGGTTGCTTTTCATGATGCCTGTCCTTGCTGAAAGGGCAGAGAGAACCTTCTAGAAAACCCTGAGTGGGTTTAGTGCAAAGGTTTTCCATTTCTTTAAAACATCTGGGGTTTTATTATTTAGCAGATGCTGTGGGGTAGGTGGTGGGTGGGTTTTTGTTTACTAGAAATGCTATTGATTTTCAGCTAGTTAGGTCATACAGGAGGAAAAACAGTTCAAGACCAATTCTTAGGTTGTCTTTGGTTGGTAGAAGAGGAACTTAAGCTGGATGCTAAGGAGAGAGAGACAGAGACACAGAGAGAGAGAGACAGAGAGAGAGACAGAGAGAGAGAGAGACAGAGAGAGAGAGACAGAGAGACAGAGAGAGAGAGGCTCTGGGGATTAGATGTGTTGCTTTTACTTTTCTGCAATTTTAGAGAATTGACATTTGAAACAGCCTTCTTTTTTTTTTAAAATTAATTTATTTTTAACTATGTATGTGTCTGTGTGTAGCTGAGCGCACCTGAGTTCAGGAGCCCAGAAGAGGGCATTGGATCCCCTGGAGCTGGATTTACAGGTGATCGGGTTGTGAACCACCTGACTTGGGTGCTGGGAACCGAACTCGGGTCCTTTACTATAGCAGTACATGGTCCTAACCACTGAGCCACTTCTCCAGTCCCCTTACATAGGCATCTTTCCAAAGTTTGCTTGTTTGCTTTCTTTTCTCTTCCCCGCCCTTGCTTTTGACAAGGTCTTACGTAGCCCAGACCGATGACCTTGCCTCTGATCCTCCTGCCTCTACTTTCTCAGTGCTGGGATTATAGACATTTGCCACTACTGGCCCATTTATGCAGTGCCGAGGATTCAAGCCAGGGCTTCCTGCTTGCGCAGCAAACACTCTACCAACTGAGCCACATCCGAGGCGCTGCGTTTAGTTTTTGAGCTTTATTGCTGTGGGGAGACTGAGGTTATGAAACAGAAAGACAGCTCAGCTGATGAGAACTGACATCACTCAAAGCAGTGGTCCAAGATCATATAGACACGAGATTAGTTTAGTCGCCACAGAACAATGGTTCCTTATTGGGCCAGGTTTTCCCCCAGGAGACATCTGGCAATGTCTGGGAATACTCTTTTGGCCCCAATGAAGGCGAGATGCTACCGATACTTAGTGAGAACAAGCCAGAGACATCCCTGAACCTCCTTCAATGCACGGGACATCTCCACAATTGAGTATCACCAGGTTCAACCTTCCTGAAGTGCTGAAGTTGAGGGCTCCTGCTGGGAAAGAAGGCACTGAAGAAGCTCCTATGGGTCTGTGAAAACTGAGTTCAACCAAGTATTTGACTCTGATCTCTGTCTTATTGTATTATAGCATCAGTGGTTTCCAGTGGTGTTGCTACTGTCTCCCAAGGGTATTATTCCATGATCTCTGTACCCAGATGGCTGCTCTTCCTTTGGAGTAATCTCTTTTCCTCTCCTTCTCCATCTTCCTTCCCCTCCCTCTCTCTCCTCTCCTTTCTTCTCTCCCTTTCTCTTCTCACCACTCTTTCCCTTCTCTTCTCTCCTCTCTCCTCCCCTCCCACCTCCACCCCAACCTCTGGTATGATTTTTCTGATATGGAAGAATGGTCTGTGGCTTTTTATTTCATCCCTTTGTTATGCATAATTGATGGCTTGCTAAAGAGGGGTCATAAAATTGGCTGAAGCTCAGAGTTGCCTTTCTGTGACGTTTGTCAGGGTTGAATCCATTGCCTTGACCTCAGCTGACATCATGACCCCCTATTGTCCCAGAAGAAAGAGAGAGAGAGGGCATCCTTTTAGATTGTTGTGTCTGTTCTGTCCTATTACTGGAACTACTTACCTCTTTCCTCCTCCTCTTCTGCCACTGGTCCCTGAGGACAGAACCGATCTGTGCTCACAAACAAGGCTGTTGGGACCTTTATGTCACTCTGTGTGTGTGTTTAATGTAACTTAATTAATGTTGCAAGGACTTTGAGAATACTAAGCAAACACTCTACCACTGAACTGTGTCCTGAGCCCTGTATAATTTTAAAACATAATTCATGTACCATAAAAGTCATCCCTCTAAGTTCAGTGATTTTTACCGTATTCACAAGATTGTGCAAACAGACTATCAAGGTCTGGGGTGATTTTATCACTCCAAAGTTATTCCCCATTCTCACCTACTATAACCCTCAATCTGTTTTTTTTTTAAATCACATTTTAAAATTTATTTGTATGTATGTGTGTGAGTGTGTGCAAGTGCACACATGTGTATGTGTGTGGAGGTCAGAGGATAACATAAAGGAGTCTGTTCTCTCCTATGTATGTCCCAGGTTTAGCAGCAGACACCTTTTTTTCTTCTTTTTCTTTTTCAAGACAGGGTTTCTCTGTGTAGCTTTGGTGCCTGTCCCGGAACTCACTCTGTAGACCAGGCTGGCCTTGAACTCACAGAGATTCACCTGGCTCTGCCTCCCAAGTGCTGGCATTAAAGGCATGTGCCACCACTGCCCGGCTGGCAGCAGGCACCTTTATCCTCTGGGGCATTTTACCTTCCTCTCCCAAGCCTGGTGGTACTTTACAGTAGCTGCTGCTTTTGTGACCCCGTCTATAGAGTTTTCAAGTCCCGACGTTAGTACTCTAAGAGCTCCTGGGTTCATCAGGGATGGTCCCTGCTGTCCCTGGAGAGACAAGGCACTGTGGATTCATCAGCTCCCCTCTCTCACTTGGAAGAAAAATATAGCAGTTGTCAAAGTCTCAGAAACACCATCAAATTTGTATCCTGCAGACTCTGTGCTATTAGCCAAGACAAAGATGCCCTTAAAATGACAAGATGAAAATGAAAAATGGAAAAATCCTAGGAAAAGGGTGACCATTAATGTGATGGAAAGATGAGAAGTCTTTTCAAACAAGAGAGAGTGATGTTAGCTTGAGGATTTTTTTTTCAGGGCTGTCTTGTAAAGAACTTAAAAAAATTTACTCTGTAATCAATATGACTTGGGCATCTTTAGTTCAGAGAACAAAGTCAGGAAATAGCAGGTTCACGGGGCAAGAGGTTTTATTGATTTCTGTGGGGAGGGATAATTATTGCTTCATAACCAAAGGCAGTGGTTGTCCTACAGGGAATAGGTGGAATCTGTGTTTTGAATGGAGATTTTTATTGTACGGTTTTCTTAGTGAGTTAATACTATAAATACTACAGCTGTGCCTGGATGATCTTTATCTTTGTTGTGGTTGAATTGAAAAGGCATTGCAAAATATGGAATAGCAATCCAAGACACTAATGTTTCTGTCTGAGAGGCTTGTATGCGCATACAAGGGTTGTGTGTGTGTGTGTGTGTGCGCGCGTGCGTGCGTGCGCGCGCGCGCACCCATGTTTAGCAAAGGACAAACTTGGCTGTCTTTTTTCAGGTCTATCCACTTAAAAAATATATATATATTAGACAGGGTCTCTAGTTGGCCCTGAGCTTTCCAGTTAGGTTAGGCTGGCTATCCAGCGAGCCACAGGAACTGCCTCACTGGTACTGAAATTACAAGCACATGCTGCGAGGCCTGGGTTCTGGAGATCTGGCTTATGTTGTTGAGCTTTTAAAGCAAGAACTTTACAGAATGAGCTATCACTTCAGCCCAACTGAGTCCAAGCATCCCAGGAATCAAAGGAAGGGATGCTACAGCGGACTAGAGATCTGAGATTTTAGGAGCAGCCATCATTAACTTAGTTCCATGGTTGAGTCCCAACCAACATTCTCTGGCAGTCCGTCTTTGAAGTGGGGCCTTCTGTATTGTAATCTCAGGGGGCTACCTGGTCCACCCTCCCTGTGTTTGGGATTCCAGTTAAAGGAGAAAAGTAGGAAAGTGTGACTGATTACTTTTCTATTTTAGGAGTGAGGCATGGAGTTTGTTTTAGGATTAGGATGCATCCATGTCAGCTGAGGAATCTACAGAAAGCATAGGCACAAAATGCCAGTGTCCTGGTTGGATCATGGCATATATTCTGGTTTTATTTCTGTTGCTGTGTTGAAATATCCTAACAAAAGCAGTGTGGAGAAGAGAGGGTCTATTTGGGTCACAATTCCAGGCTACAGCCCAGTATGATAGAAAAGTCAAGGCAGGAGCTGAAAGCATCACAGCCAGTCAAGAGCAGTGAGCGAATTAACACATCCTTGTCGGCTTCCAATACTGTTATACAGCCTAGGGTCCATCAAGTGAAAAGATGCCGTCTACATTCAGGGTGGGTCTTCCTACCTCAGCTTACACCAGCATAGTCCCCCACAGACTTATTTACAGACCAAGCTGAGACAATTCCTCAATCGACTCCATCAGTGATTCCAGATTGGGCAAGTTAACAATGAAAACCCATCAGCCGTGACGTATGTAGGATAGAAGATGCTTGTGGTTGCCTGGGTAGAATGTCCTTTAATCAGCAACTGAGAGTTTAGTTCCCCTTTTCAATCTAGATAACTGAGAGTTTCTAGTTCCCCAGTGAGTGGTCAGGGAATGAATGGTAGCTGACTCCTTGGGCTTTTGCCTACTGTTCTGTGGGAGGAGAAAAAGGAGGATGGGCGTTGCTGAGTTCAAGATCTTTGGATTATCTAAAGTTGTATCTGCATCAAAAAAAGAGCAATTTGATTGATCCATTGTTGGATACATTGTTTTTAGTGACTGAACCCAGGGCTTTGTGCATGCTATGCAAACACTGTACCAACTGAGCTACATCCCCAAATCCAGATTTTATTATTTCAGATGCCATTTTGATAGGGTACAAAGACCTGGTTACAGTACTATGTTTTCCTGCTGCCCTGTTTTAACTTTATCTTTGAATGAATGTAGGTCTTCATAAATATGTTAAATTTAGCAAGGAAAATCAGTGGGGCAGCATTCCCAGTTCATGTCATTATGGTGTGATTCTCATCAGCAGTCAGAGAACTCCATTAACAAGGACACGCTCAAAGACAGCTGAGTTCAGTGGCCAATTGGCCGTTGAGAGAG